ATGTCCAGACTTTCCCAAATACATGATACTCTAACCACTAACTATGTCCAGACTTTCCCCAATACATGATACTCTAACCACTAACTATGTCCAGACTTTCCCCAATACATGATACTCTAACCACTAACTATGTCCAGACTTTCCCCAATACATGATACTCTAACCACTAACTATGTCCAGACTTTCCCCAATACATGATACTCTAACCACTAACTATGTCCAGACTTTCTCCCCAATACATGATACTCTAACCACTAACTATGTCCAGACTTTCCCCAATACATGATACTCTAACCACTAACTATGTCCAGACTTTCCCCAATACATGATACTCTAACCACTAACTATGTCCAGACTTTCCCAATACATGATACTCTAACCACTAACTATGTCCAGACTTCCCCCAATACATGATACTCTAACCACTAACTATGTCCAGACTTCCCCAATACATGATACTCTAACCACTAACTATGTCCAGACTTTCCCCAATACATGATACTCTAACCACTAACTATGTCCAGACTTTCCCAATACATGATACTCTAACCACTAACTATGTCCAGACTTCCCCAATACATGATACTCTAACCACTAACTATGTCCAGACTTCCCCAATACATGATACTCTAACCACTAACTATGTCCAGACTTTCCCCAATACATGATACTCTAACCACTAACTATGTCCAGACTTCCCCCAATACATGATACTCTAACCACTAACTATGTCCAGACTTTCCCCAATACATGATACTCTAACCACTAACTATGTCCAGACTTTCCCCAATACATGATACTCTAACCACTAACTATGTCCAGACTTTCCCCAATACATGATACTCTAACCACTAACTATGTCCAGACTTTTCCCAATACATGATACTCTAACCACTAACTATGTCCAGACTTTCCCCAATACATGATACTCTAACCACTAACTATGTCCAGACTTTCCCCAATACATGATACTCTAACCACTAACTATGTCCAGACTTTCCCCAATACATGATACTCTAACCACTAACTATGTCCAGACTTTCCCCAATACATGATACTCTAACCACTAACTATGTCCAGACTTTCCCCAATACATGATACTCTAACCACTAACTATGTCCAGACTTTCCCCAATACATGATACTCTAACCACTAACTATGTCCAGACTTTCCCCAATACATGATACTCTAAACCACTAACTATGTCCAGACTTTCCCCAATACATGATACTCTAACCACTAACTATGTCCAGACTTTCCCCAATACATGATACTCTAACCACTAACTATGTCCAGACTTTCCCAATACATGATACTCTAACCACTAACTATGTCCAGACTTTCCCAATACATGATACTCTAACCACTAACTATGTCCAGACTTTCCCCAATACATGATACTCTAACCACTAACTATGTCCAGACTTTCCCCAATACATGATACTCTAACCACTAACTATGTCCAGACTTTCCCAATACATGATACTCTAACCACTAACTATGTCCAGACTTTCCCAATACATGATACTCTAACCACTAACTATGTCCAGACTTTCCCCAATACATGATACTCTAACCACTAACTATGTCCAGACTTCCCCAATACATGATACTCTAACCACTAACTATGTCCAGACTTTCCCTCAATACATGATACTCTAACCACTAACTATGTCCAGACTTTCCCCAATACATGATACTCTAACCACTAACTATGTCCAGACTTTCCCCAATACATGATACTCTAACCACTAACTATGTCCAGACTTTCCCCAATACATGATACTCTAACCACTAACTATGTCCAGACTTTCCCCAATACATGATACTCTAACCACTAACTATGTCCAGACTTTCCCCAATACATGATACTCTAACCACTAACTATGTCCAGACTTTCCCCAATACATGATACTCTAACCACTAACTATGTCCAGACTTTCCCAATACATGATACTCTAACCACTAACTATGTCCAGACTTTCCCCAATACATGATACTCTAACCACTAACTATGTCCAGACTTTCCCCAATACATGATACTCTAACCACTAACTATGTCCAGACTTTCCCCAATACATGATACTCTAACCAACTAACTATGTCCAGACTTTCCCAATACATGATATACTCTACTCTAACCACTAACTATGTCCAGACTTTCCCCAATACATGATACTCTAACCACTAACTATGTCCAGACTTTCCCCAATACATGATACTCTAACCACTAACTATGTCCAGACTTTCCCCAATACATGATACTCTAACCACTAACTATGTCCAGACTTTCCCAATACATGATACTCTAACCACTAACTATGTCCAGACTTTCCCCAATACATGATACTCTAACCACTAACTATGTCCAGACTTTCCCCAATACATGATACTCTAACCACTAACTATGTCCAGACTTTCCCAATACATGATACTCTAACCACTAACTATGTCCAGACTTTCCACAATACATGATACTCTAACCACTAACTATGTCCAGACTTCCCCAATACATGATACTCTAACCACTAACTATGTCCAGACTTTCCCAATACATGATACTCTAACCACTAACTATGTCCAGACTTTCCCCAATACATGATACTCTAACCACTAACTATGTCCAGACTTTCCCCAATACATGATACTCTAACCACTAACTATGTCCAGACTTTCCCCAATACATGATACTCTAACCACTAACTATGTCCAGACTTTCCCAAATACATGATACTCTAACCACTAACTATGTCCAGACTTTCCCCAATACATGATACTCTAACCACTAACTATGTCCAGACTTTCCCCAATACATGATACTCTAACCACTAACTATGTCCAGACTTTCCCAATACATGATACTCTAACCACTAACTATGTCCAGACTTTCCCCAATACATGATACTCTAACCACTAACTATGTCCAGACTTTCCCCAATACATGATACTCTAACCACTAACTATGTCCAGACTTTCCCAATACATGATACTCTAACCACTAACTATGTACAGACTTTCCCTAATACATGATACTCTAACCACTAACTATGTCCAGACTTTCCCCAATACATGATACTCTAACCACTAACTATGTCCAGACTTTCCCAAATACATGATACTCTAACCACTAACTATGTCCAGACTTTCCCCAATACATGATACTCTAACCACTAACTATGTCCAGACTTCCCCAATACATGATACTCTAACCACTAACTATGTCCAGACTTTCCCAATACATGATACTCTAACCACTAACTATGTCCAGACTTTCCCCAATACATGATACTCTCTAACCACTAACTATGTCCAGACTTTCCCCAATACATGATACTCTAACCACTAACTATGTCCAGACTTTCCCCAATACATGATACTCTAACCACTAACTATGTCCAGACTTTCCCAATACATGATACTCTAACCACTAACTATGTCCAGACTTTCCCCAATACATGATGATACTCTAACCACTAACTATGTCCAGACTTCCCCAATACATGATACTCTAACCACTAACTATGTCCAGACTTTCCCCAATACATGATACTCTAACTGCTGTCTAACTATGTCCAGACTTTCCCCAATACATGATACTCTAACCACTAACTATGTCCAGACTTTCCCAATACATGATACTCTAACCACTAACTATGTCCAGACTTTCCCCAATACATGATACTCTAACCACTAACTATGTCCAGACTTTCCCCAATACATGATACTCTAACCACTAACTATGTCCAGACTTTCCCCAATACATGATACTCTAACCACTAACTATGTCCAGACTTTCCCCAATATATGATACTCTAACCATTAACTATGTCCAGACTTTCCCCAATACATGATACTCTAACCACTAACTATGTCCAGACTTTCCCCAATACATGATACTCTAACCACTAACTATGTCCAGACTTTCCCCAATACATGATACTCTAACCACTAACTATGTCCAGACTTTCCCCAATACATGATACTCTAACCACTAACTATGTCCAGACTTTCCCAATACATGATACTCTAACCACTAACTATGTCCAGACTTTCCCCAATACATGATACTCTAACCACTAACTATGTCCAGACTTTCCCCAATACATGATACTCTAACCACTTGTCAACCAACTATGTCCAGACTTTCCCCAATACATGATACTCTAACCACTAACTATGTCCAGACTTCCCCAATACATGATACTCTAACCACTAACTATGTCCAGACTTTCCCAATACATGATACTCTAACCACTAACTATGTCCAGACTTTCCCCAATACATGATACTCTAACCACTAACTATGTCCAGACTTTCCCCAATACATGATACTCTAACCACTAACTATGTCCAGACTTTCCCAATACATGATACTCTAACCACTAACTATGTCCAGACTTCTCCCCCAATACATGATACTCTAACCACTAACTATGTCCAGACTTTCCCCAATACATGATACTCTAACCACTAACTATGTCCAGACTTTCCCCAATACATGATACTCTAACCACTAACTATGTCCAGACTTTCCCCAATACATGATACTCTAACCACTAACTATGTCCAGACTTCCCCAATACATGATACTCTAACCACTAACTATGTCCAGACTTTCCCCAATACATGATACTCTAACCACTAACTATGTCCAGACTTTCCCCAATACATGATACTCTAACCACTAACTATGTCCAGACTTTCCCCAATACATGATACTCTAACCACTAACTATGTCCAGACTTTCCCCAATACATGATACTCTAACCACTAACTATGTCCAGACTTTCCCCAATACATGATACTCTAACCACTAACTATGTCCAGACTTTCCCCAATACATGATACTCTAACCACTAACTATGTCCAGACTTTCCCCAATACATGATACTCTAACCACTAACTATGTCCAGACTTCCCCAATACATGATACTCTAACCACTAACTATGTCCAGACTTTCCCCAATACATGATACTCTAACCACTAACTATGTCCAGACTTTCCCTAATACATGATACTCTAACCACTAACTATGTCCAGACTTTCCCAATACATGATACTCTAACCACTAACTATGTCCAGACTTTCCCCAATACATGATACTCTAACCACTAACTATGTCCAGACTTTCCCAATACATGATACTCTAACCACTAACTATGTCCAGACTTTCCCCAATACATGATAATCTAACCAACTAACTATGTCCAGACTTTCCCAATACATGATACTCTAACCACTAACTATGTCCAGACTTTCCCCAATACATGATACTCTAACCACTAACTATGTCCAGACTTTCCCCAATACATGATACTCTAACCACTAACTATGTCCAGACTTTCCCCAATACATGATACTCTAACCACTAACTATGTCCAGACTTTCCCCAATACATGATACTCTAACCACTAACTATGTCCAGACTTTCCCAATACATGATACTCTAACCACTAACTATGTCCAGACTTTCCCCAATACATGATACTCTAACCACTAACTATGTCCAGACTTTCCCCAATACATGATACTCTAACCACTAACTATGTCCAGACTTTCCCCAATACATGATGCTCTAACCACTAACTATGTCCAGACTTTCCCCAATACATGATACTCTAACCACTAACTATGTCCAGACTTTCCCCAATACATGATACTCTAACCACTAACTATGTCCAGACTTTCCCAATACATGATACTCTAACCACTAACTATGTCCAGACTTTCCCAATACATGATACTCTAACCACTAACTATGTCCAGACTTTCCCCAATACATGATACTCTAACCACTAACTATGTCCAGACTTTCCCCAATACATGATACTCTAACCACTAACTATGTCCAGACTTTCCCCAATACATGATGCTCTAACCACTAACTATGTCCAGACTTTCCCAATACATGATACTCTAACCACTAACTATGTCCAGACTTTCCCCAATACATGATACTCTAACCACTAACTATGTCCAGACTTCCCCAATACATGATACTCTAACCACTAACTATGTCCAGACTTTCCCCAATACATGATACTCTAACCACTAACTATGTCCAGACTTTCCCCAATACATGATACTCTAACCACTAACTATGTCCAGACTTTCCCCAATACATGATACTCTAACCACTAACTATGTCCAGACTTTCCCCAATACATGATACTCTAACCACTAACTATGTCCAGACTTTCCCCAATACATGATACTCTAACCACTAACTATGTCCAGACTTTCCCCAATACATGATACTCTAACCACTAACTATGTCCAGACTTTCCCCAATACATGATACTCTAACCACTAACTATGTCCAGACTTTCCCCAATACATGATACTCTAACCACTAACTATGTCCAGACTTCCCCAATACATGATACTCTAACCACTAACTATGTCCAGACTTTCCCCAATACATGATACTCTAACCACTAACTATGTCCAGACTTTCCCAATACATGATACTCTAACCACTAACTATGTCCAGACTTTCCCCAATACATGATACTCTAACCACTAACTATGTTTCCCCACTTTGTCCCCCCAATACATGATACTCTAACCACTAACTATGTCCAGACTTTCCCCAATACATGATACTCTAACCACTAACTATGTCCAGACTTTCCCCAATACATGATACTCTAACCACTAACTATGTCCAGACTTTCCCCAATACATGATACTCTAACCACTAACTCTGTCCAGACTTTCCCCAATACATGATACTCTAACCACTAACTGTGTCCAGACTTTCCCCAATACATGATACTCTAACCACTAACTATGTCCAGACTTTCCCAATACATGATACTCTAACCACTAACTATGTCCAGACTTTTCCCAATACATGATACTCTAACCACTAACTATGTCCAGACTTTCCCCAATACATGATACTCTAACCACTAACTATGTCCAGACTTTCCCCAATACATGATACTCTAACCACTAACTATGTCCAGACTTTCCCCAATACATGATACTCTAACCACTAACTATGTCCAGACTTTCCCCAATACATGATACTCTAACCACTAACTATGTCCAGACTTTCCCCAATACATGATACTCTAACCACTAACTATGTCCAGACTTTCCCCAATACATGATACTCTAACCACTAACTATGTCCAGACTTTCCCCAATACATGATACTCTAACCACTAACTATGTCCAGACTTTCCCAATACATGATACTCTAACCACTAACTATGTCCAGACTTTCCCCAATACATGATACTCTAACCACTAACTATGTCCAGACTTTCCCCAATACATGATACTCTAACCACTAACTATGTCCAGACTTTCCCCAATACATGATACTCTAACCACTAACTATGTCCAGACTTTCCCCAATACATGATACTCTAACCACTAACTATGTCCAGACTTTCCCCAATACATGATACTCTAACCACTAACTATGTCCAGACTTTCCCCAATACATGATACTCTAACCACTAACTATGTCCAGACTTTCCCCAATACATGATACTCTAACCACTAACTATGTCCAGACTTTCCCCAATACATGATACTCTAACCACTAACTATGTCCAGACTTTCCCCAATACATGATACTCTAACCACTAACTATGTCCAGACTTTCCCCAATACATGATACTCTAACCACTAACTATGTCCAGACTTTCCCCAATACATGATACTCTAACCACTAACTATGTCCAGACTTTCCCCAATACATGATACTCTAACCACTAACTATGTCCAGACTTCCCCAATACATGATACTCTAACCACTAACTATGTCCAGACTTTCCCCAATACATGATACTCTAACCACTAACTATGTCCAGACTTTCCCCAATACATGATACTCTAACCACTAACTATGTCCAGACTTTCCCCAATACATGATACTCTAACCACTAACTATGTCCAGACTTTCCCCAATACATGATACTCTAACCACTAACTATGTCCAGACTTTCCCCAATACATGATACTCTAACCACTAACTATGTCCAGACTTTCCCAATACATGATACTCTAACCACTAACTATGTCCAGACTTTCCCCAATACATGATACTCTAACCACTAACTATGTCCAGACTTTCCCCAATACATGATACTCTAACCACTAACTATGTCCAGACTTTCCCCAATACATGATACTCTAACCACTAACTATGTCCAGACTTTCCCCAATACATGATACTCTAACCACTAACTATGTCCAGACTTTCCCAATACATGATACTCTAACCACTAACTATGTCCAGACTTTCCCCAATACATGATACTCTAACCACTAACTATGTCCAGACTTTCCCCAATACATGATACTCTAACCACTAACTCTGTCCAGACTTTCCCCAATACATGATACTCTAACCACTAACTATGTCCAGACTTTCCCCAATACATGATACTCTAACCACTAACTATGTCCAGACTTATCCCAATACATGATACTCTAACCACTAACTATGTCCAGACTTTCCCCAATACATGATGCTCTTAACCACTAACTATGTCCAGACTTTCCCCAATACATGATACTCTAACCACTAACTATGTCCAGACTTTCCCCAATACATGATACTCTAACCACTAACTATGTCCAGACTTTCCCCAATACATGATACTCTAACCACTAACTATGTCCAGACTTTCCCCAATACATGATACTCTAACCACTAACTATGTCCAGACTTTCCCAATACATGATACTCTAACCACTAACTATGTCCAGACTTTCCCCAATACATGATACTCTAACCACTAACTATGTCCAGACTTTCCCCAATACATGATACTCTAACCACTAACTATGTCCAGACTTTCCCCAATACATGATACTCTAACCACTAACTATGTCCAGACTTTCCCAATACATGATACTCTAACCACTAACTTCCCCATGTACAGACTTCCCAATACATGATACTCTAACCACTAACTATGTCCAGACTTTCCCCAATACATGATACTCTAACCACTAACTATGTCCAGACTTTCCCCAATACATGATACTCTAACCACTAACTATGTCCAGACTTTCCCCAATACATGATACTCTAACCACTAACTATGTCCAGACTTCCCCAATACATGATACTCTAACCACTAACTATGTCCAGACTTCCCCAATACATGATGCTCTAACCACTAACTATGTCCAGACTTTCCCCAATACATGATACTCTAACCACTAACTATGTCCAGACTTTCCCCAATACATGATACTCTAACCACTAACTATGTCCAGACTTTCCCAATACATGATACTCTAACCACTAACTATGTCCAGACTTTCCCAATACATGATACTCTAACCACTAACTATGTCCAGACTTCCCCAATACATGATACTCTAACCACTAACTATGTCCAGACTTCCCCAATACATGATACTCTAACCACTAACTATGTCAGACTTTCCCCAATACATGATACTCTAACCACTAACTATGTCCAGACTTTCCCCAATACATGATACTCTAACCACTAACTATGTCCAGACTTCCCCAATACATGATACTCTAACCACTAACTATGTCCAGACTTTCCCCAATACATGATACTCTAACCACTAACTATGTCCAGACTTTCCCCAATACATGATACTCTAACCACTAACTATGTCCAGACTTTCCCCAATACATGATACTCTAACCACTAACTATGTCCAGACTTTCCCCAATACATGATACTCTAACCACTAACTATGTCCAGACTTTCCCAATACATGATACTCTAACCACTAACTCTGTCCAGACTTTCCCCAATACATGATACTCTAACCACTAACTATGTCCAGACTTTCCCCAATACATGATACTCTAACCACTAACTATGTCCAGACTTCCCCAATACATGATACTCTAACCACTAACTATGTCCAGACTTTCCCCAATACATGATATTCTAACCACTAACTATGTCCAGACTTTCCCCAATACATGATACTCTAACCACTAACTATGTCCAGACTTTCCCCAATACATGATACTCTAACCACTAACT